TTCACGCACTTACTTATGGTCACTACTGAGCTTGACTCAATTGTCCGTCTCTGTCTCTGCCTGTCTGCAATTCAATTCCGATTAATTAGACTCACGTTAACCGGCGCACTTATATACAGGAATAGAGGGCGCCTAGCACATACTGTATTATTCGTGATGTTCCCCGATCCTTCGAGAATATCATGACGTGTTACGAGGGTCACGTGACTACCGCTGTCGTAACATTATTATTACTGTTGAATCAATACAATCTTAAACACCTCAATCAGATCCCCCCCCCCCATAATTCTTCTTTTTTCAAAAGAAAACAATTTGAGAGATTTCAACCTCTCCCCGTATGACAACCCCTCCATCCCAGGCACCATTCCAGTAATCCTTCTCTGAACCCTTTCAAACAATTTAATGTCCTTCCTAAGGTAAAGAGCCCAAGACTGAACACAATACTCCAAATGTACCATAATCAGTGTCCTATATAATGACATTTTAGCCTTTTTAGACTTGTATTCGATATTTCTGTAGATACAACCTAAGATCCTTTTTGCTCTACCACTAGAGACTGATAAACTATTATAGCAAGATCCATTTCTTTCATGACACTGTTAAGGTTATTCTCATCCAAATTATACTTATAATTCAAATTATGATAACCCACATGCATTTATTGTAATTAAAACCCATCTGCCATTTAGTTGCCCAACTCAAACGATCTAAATTTTTTTTATAAATCAGCAGCATCCTCTTCACAGTTAGCAACACCCAAGAACATCTGCAAATTTAAGTAATTTGTTGACTATTCCTTCATCTATATCATTGATGTAAATCAAAAAGAAAAAGATACCTAGCCCTGAGGTATCTCGCTTCTGACATTAATCCAGTTTGACTGAACTTCATTTGTAATATCCTTCTGCTTTCTTCCATTGAGCTACTCTTATCCCCCAAACTTATAGAGATATTTGTGCAAGCCTTTTATGTGGTACCTTGTCAAATGCTTTCTGAAAATCTAGATACACCAAATCTTCAATTTCACCTTCATCTACATAAGCAGTAACATTTTCAAAGAATGTTAAAAGATTTGTAAGGCAAGATTTTCCCTTAGATGACTATCCAATAAAATTCTAAACTTTGTTCAATGACTTTTCAAAGCATCTTTTATCAGACTTTCCAAACCTTTTCCCACAACTGATGTAAGACTAATGAGTCTATAATTACTGGGACAATTTTTATCACCTTCTTTGAAAAGAGGAGTTACATTAGTTAACTTCCAATCCTCTGGTACCTGCCCACTATTCAAGAACTGATGAAAAATAGTAAGAAGTGGTTCACATATCCAATCCTTACCTCCTCCAAAGTCCTTGTTTTAAATATTATCTGACCCAGGAGCCTTATCTTTTTTAAACTTCTCAATTTTTTCTTAACCAGCCCAGAATTAATGTAGTCATCTTGTTTGATCTTGTTTCCATTTATCAACTGTTCAAGATGTGGAATACTGCTTAAATCTTTGTTAGTAAAAACCGAAGAAAAAGCAGCCATCTCATAATCATCAGATACTAGCCTTCCTTTTTCATCCCTCAAGGGTCATACCCCCATCCTAACATTATGTTTACCCTTAATGTATTTAAAGAAATCCTTACTATTAATTTTTACATTTTCAGTCAACCTTTTCTCATGCATACTTTTTGATGTCCTGATTTCCTGTTTCACCAACTTTTTTATTTTCTATAATCTCCTGTCATACCAGTCAATTTAAATTTCATAAATGTCTGGTGCTTTTCTATAATTTTATCTCTTATACTCTTTGTGAGCCAACCTGGTTTTTTATTTGCACCTATCCTTTTCTTTCTATGAGGAGTATGTTTACCTTGAATATTTATAAATTTATCTATAAAAATTTTCCACATCTAATCAGAGTCTCCAAATAATTCAGCTGCCCAATTCACAACAGAAAATTCTTGTTGCACTCCTTCTAAATGTGCTTTTTGAAATTTGTAACCAAAATATCATTATTCCTTATCTCCATATGCAGCAAAACATTGAATCTAATAGAGCAATGATCACTTGTACCCAGATATACCCCAATTTCAACCCTTTCGATAATTTCTATATTTGAAGTTAACAATAAATCTAAAATAGCATTGTTTCTAGTAGGTTTCTTGACTAATTGGTAAAGAAAGCCATTTTGAACAGTTTCCAAAAACATTTCTTTCTCATGATTTGACTCTACCATTTCCCATTTCCCAATCTTTATGCCTGAAATTAAAGTCACCCATAATTATGATCTCATTAACAGCTGAAATCTTAATCTCATTGTAAAGTTTCTCACTTAAAGCCTTCTCCCTTTATATCCATTAACAGAAACTCAAATGGATTCAATCTCCTTGCCATTATCTCTGATATTCTTAACTTCAACAGGATGTAACTCACATTTTGTGTATAAAGCCACTCTTCCCTCTTTAATACTCTATCCCTATTAAATAGCCTGTAACCCTGTATTTCAGAGAAATTTCTGTCATCAAAATCATCTATGTTTAACCATGTTTTAGTTATTCCCATTATATCAAAATCTCTAAAGTCATTATTTTATTTTTTATACTTCTAGCATTACAATAATAACAATTAAGCATACCCTTATAACTCCTATTCATATTCTTTTTGCATTTAGTTTTTCTGGCCCTAACCACTGTCTAGTTCCCTTACAGCTAAGTTAATATCCTTAGCAAACAAGCCAGCACCTACCCAATTTAAATATAAACCATTAATTTCAAAAAGCTCCCTTCTTCCACTAAACTGATTCCAGAAGTCTAACCAGTTAATCTACTCATTCTTACATACTAACTTAAGCTTAGCATTTAGTCCTAATGACCTATTTATAACTTCAAGTACCACAGTTAATTTTGGACAGTATCCCTGACAAAATTAAGTTATAGCCTTTAAATGCCTTTATCAACCCCTTGTACGTATTAATTAGCTCCTCTGACCTACCTTTCTCTACAACATTAATCCCTATATACACAGCAAAAACTGCATCTCTGCTAGCCCCTTTATTATATCTCCTACTCTGTCAGTTATATCCTCCACCTGTGCCTCCGAGTAGTATAATTTGATTATTTTCTCCCATTTTACCCCACAAAACTATCCTATCCACATGCCTTGTCAAGGAATCACCTATAACTATAACCTCCTTATCATCCACATCCTTCTCTGACCCTTTTGTTTTCTTTCCCTCCAATAGTTCCTCGTCTGCAGAAGCCAAGGGCTGAAACCTGTTGCTCAACAGAATAGGGTCATTATAACTAAATTCACTACTTTTATCCCTAATAGCAATCTTTATAACTTCCTGAAAGAATCTACAGACTTGTTGTTCAAAACTGCTTTCAACAGAAATGCTTAAAAATAGACTTATAAAAACAGAAACATGATTTTGTATGAGATATGCTGACTAAAAATAGATTAGTAATTTTCATAAGTAAATAAAAAACAGCATGGTCCAATGTTAAAAAGTTATTTATTTCTAATATCTTTGCTATCAAGATTTGTTGATGATTTTAATGTCATACACTAAGAAAGAAAATGAGTACTTTGCAGCATATTCTTATTGCTCATAATTACCTGCCTATACCTGTTAGCAGCAAATAAATATTAATTCTATATGTCCAGATGTATTGGAATTGTTATTTACCTTAATGCCTGCTAGGCCTGGTATTCCAGGAGACCCAGGAATGCCTGGTTTGCCCTGTTAAAAAACAAATACATAAATTAAGTAATTAATGGTATAAATTGATTTCGAAAACTGTATCATCACAACATGCTACATAGAATGTGCATGTGTATATTTATGATAACAGCTTCTGTATGATTATCTCAGTTTTGAGAACTATTATAAACAGATCTATGAATGAGTGATAACATTTAAAATGAGTCAAATTATTCATTATATACATACATATATTATAAATTTACAGTGCAAGTAAAAAATAATCAAATCATACATTACTTTGGATTTTAATATTCAAATGCTTTGAACAATTCTGTTCAAAATTTAAACATTCAGGTGATAAAATAAAACATCAGTTATCATCATTTCCCAGACTTACACCACTTAAATATTTAGTATGGCTACGAAAGAATTTCAATTAATTTTAGAGCATCCACTTTCAGCCAAACCTTACTTACTTCAGGTCCAAGGTTTCCCTGATGGCCAGGTATACCAGGAAGACCCATATCTCCCTATTAACAGAAATAACAAAACACAATTTTGTAAACTTAGATTTCTCTAAAAGCCTAAAATAACTTCAAATTGAAAGAAAAAAAACCCTCTAAAAAATATACAAAACTAAGATCAAAATAGGAAGAACATGTTTCTATAGCAACTACACAAAACTAAAAGCAAAATTCGAAGAAAATGTCTCCATCACAGTTAAACATCAAGCTATTAAAAACTAGTGTGCCTTTTTGTTTATGTTAGTAATGCATGGTATTCACAATTCTTTATGTGTATATTTAGTGAATTATTGTGTGCACTGTTAATTTCTAAGTGTGAGTACTGTAGTATTTTAAGTAAACATTACATCTACATTACATGTAATCCCATTAACTATACATCTCTCTGGAAACAAAATAAAAATTTTATTGAAATTTTTTCTCTGTCCCTGGATGTATCTCATAACAGCAACGAAATTGATCTGTATAAAAGTTGTACAGTTATTAGTGCTAGCCTCAAACACAGATCATTAAAGCTCTTTCACATACACATAAGTGTAGTATATACACAGAAGTATACAAAACCAGAATAGTACTGTAAATACAAGTGAATTAAATATATTTAAATAACAAAACTTTTATATGTGTATAACAAAGCTCAGCAAGAAAATGAGAATAAAGAAAAAATATAAAATGGAGAAATACATTTACCTTTTTTCCTGCTTCTCCTCTGGATCCTTTAAGTCCAGGAACACCAATATTTCCCTGTAATTAAATATATGATTACATAAAGTAGAAACATATTCACCATGTTTTGACAAAATAATATTGTTATGTAACAACACTTCAGTCAAGCTCTTTACTAATGAAACACAGATAATACTTCTATGTAACATATTATTATAGTTCTTCACAAAATGTTCATGATATAATTTTTAAATTTAGAGTTAATTTTCCTGTCTATAAAGTGAATATGATACACACATTCTTTTCTTTACGCACTTCATTATGCATAAATATTAAGGTAGCTTCTAATCAACTCGTATATCTGTTTCACTACTAGCTGTCTTACAGTAACTGGCAAAATAACTAACAAAACTGATATTAATTAAATTAGATTACAATATTCATAATAACCAACCTGTAGCAGATAAAATGATTTAGTCTTACATTTGTGTTTACCAAATAGGTTAGTATTTCTTTTTTACTTATAATGCTCATTTATCAGTTTATTAAATGACGACAGAAAATGCTCAGACCATTTCTGTGTCCTCATAACGTCCATCATATTTGAGTTTACAGTAGCAATTGTCAAAAAATATATGAATTGTTCGAAAATGTGTACAAATTATGAACATTTTGCAAAGATTAAGTGTTATTATTACTGCATTATTAAAAAATAGAACTTCTGGAATTTTATTCAAACAAAGCTATTTTCAACAGCTAGCCAAAGCATCAGAAGTACGTAGCACCTGTTTGTAAATTTCATGAAACATACGATATCCATAAAAATTTTTATGACTTACTAGAAATAGGATATAAAAAACTATAAAATTATTTTACCCACAGTTTATAAATTCTTGTTCTTAGTGAAAACTGTGTTCAAGTATTAGTATCATATTAAAATATAACACGTCTATTACTTCTCTTTGTATATATCTCTTACCTGAGGACCTCTTTCTCCAGTTGGACCAGGCAGTCCTGTATTTCCATGCTCACCCTAATCATTCCAAATTATACAATCAAATATAAATTCCATATAGTGAATAATAGAAACTAAGTCATTTGATAAAACTTGTGTCAGAGAACAAAGAACATATTTTAACAAGGAACAACAAAAGTTAATGTCATTATAACATATGAATATAGACGAGATATTAAAATGATTTATTTCAATGGTGACACCTATTGTTATGATCAAGTAACTAAATAAGCCCATTTCTGTGAATATATTTCAGTATACATAAATACAGCATAACAATAAAGCAACGATGATAAAGGATATAATTCACAAAGTCATTATAGTCATTGAATTAGATGGAAAGTTACTCCAAACTTGACTGTGCTAATTTCAGGATTATAAAAAACACATGTTGTACCTGTACAAGATTCAAGGACCTAGTATAGAGGCGATTGAACGAAAGAGACAAAACTCAGTGTGAAGTTCAAGCAAAAATAAAACCACACTGGAAATGAAAGGTTGATTGTCAAAGTGGAGAAGTAATACATTGTGGTAAGGTTAGAGAAGAAGAAATATAAATTATAGTTAAAGATTAGGTATAGATAACTAACATGATAATCAAGTGCTAGTAGAAACAATGATATGTTTTTTCTTGTTTGTTTTTGAATTTCACACATAGCTACTTGAGGGCTACTTGCATTAACTGTCCCTAATTTTGAAGTGATAGATTAGTGGTAAGGCAGCTAGTGAACACTATCCACCATCAATTCTTCTCCAATGAATAGTGGGATTGACCATCACATTATAATACCCCAATGAATAGTGGGATTGACCATTACATTATAATGCCCCAATGAATAGTGGGATTGACCATTACATTATAATGCCCCAATGAATAGTGGGATTGACCATCACATTATAATGCCCCAATGAATAGTGGGATTGACCATCACATTATAATGCCTCATGGCTGAAAGGGGCGAGCAAGATTGCGAGTCAAGTGCCCTAACCACCAGACTATGCCAGGCCCAGAACCAATGATACAACAAGACTTTGTGGCAATTTCTGTCTCCCTAGAAAACAGAAATGAATCTCCTTTGAAAGAACCAAAACTGCATTCACAATACACATTCTCTCCAACTATTTAGAAAACAAGCACATGGTATTTCCTACACAGAAGATCAGATAGGAAAAAATGCAACTTTCGCCCCAAAACAATCAATACGTTCCTTGACCGATCAATATACAATAAGTAACACCTCAGTCTGAATTTTGCACATTACCCCAAATAGTTTTACAATGTTCCATATCAGACTTTAAAAATTCTAATTCTAATTAATCTAAGTCTGATTAATAGAAACGCTTCTATTACCTTATAAATACAAAAGTAAATATACTGACAACCTATGAACAAATGTTAAGGACATTGTCTATTGTATATTTCTCAAAATAAAAATATCGATCTGTACAATCAGTGCAGCCAAAAATATAGTAGGAACAACCACTTTATGAACTATTGAAAATGATTAAATAAACAAGTAAAAAATTATATTACTTTACAACGATATTTATTTTTAATATCAAAGTGTCTAAAGTTCAACAAAGAACTTGAGTTTAAGTAGCAACATACCTTCAGTCCTGGACTTCCTACTTCACCCTTCCTTCCCCTAGCACCTGGAACACCCTACAATGGGGGAGTTATAATACAGAATATAATTATAGTCAACAAATCATATAGAAGGTTACTCCGTAATCAAAATTAACAGAATGGGCTGCCAGTACATCTGTAAAAATATACTTAGACAAAACAATACAGCTGGCTAACAGTGTGATTAGTTTAATAATTAGCAAAAATAAATAAACAAATGACATTTTTAATACTAAATAAAGCATAATACTTTGTATGCTGACTTATAAAAAATAATAATGTTGGATCACAATGTGAGTAGTTTTGCAATTAGTTTTGTAATTAGCAAGTATAAGGAAACTAATAAGTTGTTTTATATTATATAAAGCATAATGCCTTGTGCTCTGACACATTCAAAGTTACTAATAGATAATAATGTTGGTTTACATTGCAATTAGCTTTATAATTAGTAAGAATAAGGAAACAGATAACTTGTTATATACTAAATAAAGTATAATAAATTTCCATTATTTCAAATAATTTGAGTGATTAATGAGTTTAAGATCCACTACAAATTAAATAATCTCCACTGTAAACACTCAAATAATACTCTTCAAAATAATTTAGAAATTTAAGTAATGACATAGAATCAACTAGTCATAAATAATTATCCTATCACTAAAGAATTCAAAAACAAAAAAAAATTTAATGCAAAATTATGTAGAAATACTATCAACTTGAATATGAACATATAGAGAAATGCTATTGATTTTTTTATGGTATACTTGTTGATCTTCTGGATAACTTAACAGTTTAAATTACAGATGCTGTCTTTAGATGTTGCTATGTTATTACTACTGTTATAAGAGCCAATCTCTGTAGACTACTAACCACTGGACCAGGAAAGCCTTGTGGTCCAGAACGTCCTTGAAGACCTCTATCACCTTTTATCCCAATGGCTCCACGTTTACCTTCAGGTCCAGATTTTCCAACTGGACCCTGAAAATTGGGTAATTAAACATCAAATTATCACTCTTACATGTATTGTTTGTACACACAGTATTCACTCACTGAATTTTTCTTCTGTTTGTTACATTCTATATTTTCTTATGTTGGATGCATCTTATTTTCACACATACACAAGTTTTCATTAATTTCATTAAGAATTAAAAAGTTATATTACAGAGAACATTTTAATCAACTACAACTATATTATCTATTGAAAAAACTTTGAACACTTATATATCTTTTTTTACAATTTATCTTTTACTATAAAAAAATTCCTATAAGTAACATGATTAAACAGGCAATTTTATGTATAAAAAAACACGTGGTTTGTTCCAAAACTAGTAATATTTTGAAGGAAAAAATGTACAGTTAGTTTTACAACATGTTTGCTCCAAGAAATGTTCAAGTTAACTGTGGTCATTCTAAAATTCAAAATTACTTGAAATACATAATTATATTCGTATCTATGGTAAAGCTACTAACGTTTTCTGCTGTCATTCCTAATTTTGAACTACTTACCAGAGGGAAGGCAGCGAGTCAAAAGCACCCTACCACCCATCATCCACACACATAAGAATTGACTGTCACTCTGATAACATACTCATAGCATAAAGTGTGGGGAATATTTGATGGTAACATATGGATTTGAACATAATTATATCTGTTAATTTACATAAGTATGAAAGAGCACTCAATGTTAAAATATACATTGCAACAGGGATTAACAACACAGTTACAAATTTGTTTTTTTCTTTTCAATTAATTTCCAAAAAATAAAATAAAGATATTTTCCAGATCCTAGTTTTGTTAATGTTCCTTCTAGACGAGTATGTTCAAAGCTTAACAAGCCTAACTAACTTTTGCTACTGGCTGGCTTCATTGCCCATTGGTCAATAGTTCAAAGTTACCATTTTTTAATACTGAATTACGGTATTTCAATATTGCTTGAAAAGTTAAATTTAGCTAAATTAAATAGGTTTGGGTGTGAAGGGCAAAAATTTCTTGCATGTTACAGAAAGACACTCAAATACGATTTTGAAATTGTATAATTGAATACTAACTGAGCTACAAACAGTGAGAAAACCAGGACAAAGTAATGTTAAACCTACCTAAAACATTAGGTGATACTAGATACAAATCAGTAGTTATAACATTAGATTATACGTACATAGTTCAACTGAGCAGGCAGAATTATTAGATATTTGTATGTTAGAATATTACATATAGTTGTAATGTTTAATTTATAAATGTGAAAGAAATTGTATAATAATAAAAAATATACAAATTTCATTATATTATAATATTATTCCACTTTATGAATTGGAGATTTTGTTGTGAATGCAGGTCATTAGCAATTTAGAGAGAGACGTGCTATATTTTCAAACCTTACATAGTTCAAATTACAGAACATTTAACTACCAATATGTAATTCTAATAAACAAACCTTGAGAATATGATTCAGAAAACAAATTATGATATAAAAAATACTATAATGTTGATGATAAGAAAAGTTTTATTTCTGGAGTTTCTAATGACTTATGTTAGCATTACAAAATATAAAAGTAATTTAAGTACTTTTTCCCCAGGTTCCCCAGGAGGTCCAAGACGTCCAATTTGACCTTCAGGACCTTGTTCTCCTGGTCGTCCTATGGCACCTTCAGGACCAGGAGGTCCTTGTTCACCTCTAGTTCCTTTTGGTCCTGGTTGTCCTACTTGTCCTGTTCTACCTGGTAGTCCCTTAAACACAGAGAAATAACCAATTTTTTAATTTATCCATAGGTAATATAAAAAAGTTGTGACTACTTTTGGTAATGAAAGTGACTGTTCATTGCGGGTGCTGTGTGATATATTGTTTTTTAAACAGAAGTAATGTTTGAAGACTTTTTCCCTAATACTTGCATGCATATTTTATGAACTAAACAATCACAAATCTTGATGCAGAGTATTATAATTGGAAGTTATTACAATGTTGTAAGCATAAAATGCCTTGTTACCACACAAACTTCAACTCAGTATAGTAAAATCAGCTTATCTTAATCAAAAATAACCTTGTAACCGAACAATATTCTACACACAACCTATCTTAGTTATAGGTTAACATTCAAAGAATGCCTAGCATCTAACTGTGATAAAATCATTACACCTTTAACTAACCATGAAGAAAAATTCCAAAGTTTGTAAACACAGCATGTCCTAGCAGTATTAATACTATATAGGTGGTGCAGGCTCAACACAACTTAGTTACCATATACATTTTTAAATCATGACATTGCAATTGGTAAAATCAAGGAGTTTCAATCTTATGGTTACAATGAAGTAATACATTTAACCTGTTGAATTTTTCAAAAGGAGATCCATATTATAGTAAAACATTTTCATAAAAAAAAAAAGAGTTTCAACTAACCACTAAACCTGAAGGTCCTGAGTGACCCTTAGCTCCTTTAGCCCCAGTCAATCCCTGTTAAATGAAATGAATAGCAAAAATTTCAGTTTATCTGAGGAGGAATAATCATTTCAATTGTCATTAAATACACAATAATAAATACTGTACTATACTTTTCTAATTATTGTTAATTCTCAATAACAGTATTTTTCCCAAATAGAATAAGTTTCGAATTTAATGCTTATCCACATTCTTTGCAAATATATTTCTATAAAATTTCTAAACACTTCCATATACACTTTTTATACACATTTCTATGAAGGTTTATTAAAGAAATCAACTACAGTTTACTTGCTGTTTTTTAATTTCTATATTTTTCTAATCTTTCAGTTTTTACGACTAACCCTTGATCCTCGAATTCCAGTAGGTCCTCTTTCACCTCTCAAGCCTGGGGCTCCAGTTAAACCTGGTAGTCCTCTCTCACCATGAAATCCTCTTTCACCCCTATCACCCTGTGGGCCTTGCAATCCAGGAGATCCAGGTATTCCTGGTTTACCATCCTTACCAGCTTCCCCTGGGTTTCCTGTTATTCCTGGTAGTCCCTATAAGATGTATAAGAAAGTAGGAAAAAAATAATTGAAAAAATATATGAGTTGCATAATTCAGTAATACTAATCCACTGAAACAAAATTGTATATTCAAACAATGCTAGTAAGAATGTCTTCTTTTTTTTCTTGTATTTTTTTAAATGTAGTCTTTGGAAATATGAACTAATCATTGCATATAACAGTCAACAGTCACTTTGTTCTGTACTGTTGCCAATCTACTGAAATTACATAGCTTGATTTACTTATGATCAATTGCATTTCATTCAAACAAGTTTGGAATTGAAAGATTTAAATTCTTGTACCTGAAAACCTCGTGCACCCTGAGATCCTGGTGGACCCCTCTCACCAGGTTTCCCTGGGGCTCCAGGCTGACCAGGAGATCCTGTAAACCCTTGTCTTCCAGGATCACCAACTGCACCTCGTTCTCCTTTAAGGCCTACTAGCCCATCTAGACCAGGCAGACCCTAAAATAAAATTTCTGATTATTAATCGCTAAACAGCTATCTATATAAAAGCAACAAATATTATATTAGAGATAACTCAAGCCATAGCCAAAAGTGTCTAAATCTTTAAAGGAAATTAATTGTCCTTAAATATATATATTACATATATAACACAAAACTTCTAATAAAATACATTATACACATGTAAAACACATATAAAGATTTAGGCAATACTAAAAGAAATGTAGAATAATTTCATTGAATATGAACACACAAATACTTCAAGTGTACTATCTTGATTAGAAGAAGCTGTATATTTCAATTTTTTTTATAATTTTAAAGTATACTTTAAAGAATATATCTGATGCTAACCAAAACTCCACATAGCAACAAGTTAATTCTTCTCATAAAAATGTTTATGCTAAATACTTACAGGAACATATTATATGTATTCAACGAAAAACAAAAACTGAATACTACATACTTTCATATATCACATGGTAACAGCAACACATGTTTTACATGTGTAATTTACATTAGTAAAAATTAATGTATAGCTCTAAGCTCCAATTTTCATCTATTCACCCAGCTTCCAACAAAGATGATGAAAAATTATTTTCGTTTTATCAGTGAATATTCTGTACTATGTGCCACAAGTTTTGTTTTGATTATGATAACAGTTTACTGGTTTGATGAGTGAAGTATCTATAAAACATAACAATTGCACATGTTTCACAAATTAGAAAATTTGTTTTGTCCATCACCTAAGTTTAAAATACAATAAATTGCCTAACTACTTATTGTTTATTTTAAAACTAATACCAGGGAAAAAAAATAAGAGTTTGCTTTATATTTTATTTTCTGATTTTGTTTTTCATCTTATGAGCTTCAAAACATCTTACCGGTTCTCCAGGAAGACCCCTTTTTCCTGCAATACCTGAAACACCTTGAAGACCCTGGAAAGATGGGAAAAAAGAAAACAGTTTAAGGTGACTTGATCATAGAAAACTTTCTGAAATATGTCAAGAAAAACTATACAAGTTAATAAATTATTGAATAACAAAAGTTAATGAATAATAATTCTATTATTTTTCTTTTTCCAGATGAAATTGTTTCCTTGCATAGTTATGTATATGCATCACATTTTTTACAATGAAATACAAGGTCACTTAATGATATTTTAGAATATTCTCTGTTGACCAGAACATGAGCATTACATAAACATTTTCTTTACTTCCATAACTTTAACTGTAGAATGTTAACCTCATTTCATAGAGAAATAAGCCCCATCTGAAATTTATATTTGTGGTGCCATTTTATGTCCAGAATCTTTCTATCATAAAAACGATTTTTTAATTCTTTATAAATGTAGACAGAGCAATGTGTGTGTTACATTACTTCATGAAAATATAGCCAACTCAATTTACATAGGGCTATGTCCACATTTCTTCACAACAACCTAGTCAAATTTCAATTTTCAGAGAGGTATGTCATTTATAAAAGGTATGCTTGAAGGTAAAAAAAATTACGTTTTACGACAGATGTTCTAGCTTTTCTAGTTGTATGTTAGGCTCTCTTTTTTGTGGTTATCTAATTGCACCAATAATAAAACATTAATGCTCATGTGGCTCTAGTAAGAAAAATTAGCTCATGAGAAATTTCAACATATCTGTTTAGTAGAGAAACTAATACCTGTGAAAAATATTTTTTAAAAACAACAACAATGCTTTTCAAGTCATTTCCTCTCATACAGTTAGAACTAATACCAAAAAAAAATTACTCCAAAGTTACCAGATAAAACTAGTAAAGCTAGAAAATTAACCCTGAAAATACTTTAAAGACTAAGAGTGGTAAAGGCTGGAAATGAAATCGAAGAAGCAATTATAACTTCACCAGTTAAATATTGATTAAACAAGGATCTTCAAATCTTAAATAATTTTTGCTTATTATCTTGATTTGAAAACTGAATCTTTAATTACAATTAAAATAAATTATTTATATCACAGCACTTAAAATAAATGTACGTAACATTTTCTTTTAATTTTCACTCACAAGAATGAAAATATCATATCTAATGACTACCCTTATGAATGCATAACTTTGTATAGCTTTCAAAGCTACTAAATAAAATCACATCTCATTAACAGCAGGGGTGATACCAGCCTTTTCCCAGTGAAAATACTGAGGCTGGCTAGAGAAAAAATTGAAGGGGCTGCACTTTACATCTTGTGGGCACACATAATGCAGTATTTAGGAAGAAAAATATCTTTAACATTAAGTAGTTTTCATTAGATGCAAAGGTTACACAGGAGAGTAAAAAATATTTTTGGTTAATTTCAGCCCCAGTAAACTCCCCCACCCCCACTGCTCCTAATTAACAGCTTCTTCCATAAAAAAACTGACGATAAAATTAACAAGCCTTCATACTTGTGGTCCTTGATCACCAGGTTTTCCATTAATCCCAGGTTCTCCCTGAAAATTAAGAAAATTACTTAATATACTTTAATAATCAATGCTATAAACTTTGAGAGAAAACAAAAAAGTACACATTAGTGGAAAACTGACCAAATATTGAATCAGTCAGTGTCAGAAGTTGCTTTTCAAAATGTGTTAGAAAAACTAAAAGTGTGTAAACTTAGAGTTTAAATTTGATCTAACCTCATTTCATACATTAGCATTTAGCTCGCAATAGTAAACCCAACGATCAAACTGTGTTTTCATCTAATGACTTCTAATCTTGCTATCAATCTAGTAAATACAATCATCAAACTGTGTTTTCATCTAATGACTTCTAATCTTGCTATCAATCCAGTAAATACAATAATCGAACTGTGTTTTCATCTAATGACTTCTAAACTTGCTATCAATCCAGTAAACACAACCATCAAACTGTGTTTTCATCTAATGACTTCTAATCTTGCTATCAATCCAGTAAACACAACCATCAAACTGTGTTTTCATCTAATGACTTCTAAACTTGCTATCAATCCAGTAAACACAACCATCAAACTGTGTTTTCATCTAATGACTTCTAAGCTTGCTATCAATCCAGTAAACACAACCATCAAAAAACGTGTATTTTCATCTAGTGACCGCTACACATGCTCTCAATATACATTTACAAAACTATCCTTAAGGTTTTTGGATCATTAAATTACCACAATATAATACACTTATAAACTGCTTTAATCTCTCGATATACACTACAGTAACTACATCTACAATGCTAACTTACCTTAATTCCTGGATTGCCATCTTTTCCTGGGATACCTTGTCGACCTCGTAGACCCTGTATTGAATGAACTATATATATATATTCATCCAGATAGTTTTAAAACAAAATATATCAGTGCTTATAAAATAAATATGCTCACAAAAATTTACACTCCATAACGAATTTTATGCTTCAGTATATTCTCATGGATACTTAATTTTAACCATATACTTAGACTGGATTCAAATACAAGTTTTAAAAATTGTGAGAATTAAAAAAAGTGAATAGATGTGTTCGTGTATCTTACCTGAAGTCCTTGAGGACCAGATGTACCTGGTTTTCCAGTATCTCCCTAAACAGATATATATAAATTAATCAACACATTCAAAACATAAGTATATATAATTATCTTCAATTGAAAGCAAAAAAAAATAAAACATAAAACTTTGCTTTTGTATTCAAAATGATCTGAGCGATGTGGAATTATTTGTACATCTGAAAGACAGTATAGGTGGATGTACTCATTTGATGTGTTTGCAGACTTTAAGACTTGGACTTTTGAATCAGTATCTAAAAGAGCTTGTTATTTTTACAATATTATGATATCTGATAGACTTTGCAAAAAAACTATTGATAAATCCATGTCTCAATTACGCTGTAAGCCAATAAGCAACTGAACAATCAGTAAAATTTATGAATATTCTTTTAATATAAAAAAATGCCTCAATTAAATAGAAATTTATGCTATTTGTTTTTTTCTTCATGAAACATTTAATAGAAAAAAATTATTTCAATTACAAAATAGATTTTCTTAACCTGATGATGCGATGTATCCCCTAAATCAACAATGACAATTTAATAGGCAACTGGCTCTACATTGCCATGTACAAGTTGTTGTTTGTTTTAGAGCAAAGCTATCTTAGGCTGTGTCCACTGCAGGGAATCGAACCCCATATTTTAGTGTTCTAATCTAAAGACTTAGGGCTGTCCCACCAGGAGACCGAAATACAAATCTTCAGCTAAATATTTAAGTAAAAACATTTTTCATTTGCTTATATAATTCATCTTTCTATTCCTTAAGAAATGAAAGAACTACTGAAAAATGCTAAAAAGCTTAAACATGTATGAGAAATCCTAGGATAGTCTAGATATAAACATATCTCTAACAATTTTTCATTTGTTCAATTACTTTGCAGTCTTTAACGTATGACACAATCATATTAAAATATAACAGTACTTTCATTACATATAATAAACTACAGCCTCCAAATAATGCTGTTTCTCCATTCTAACTTTACTTATATGTCATATATTTAACAACCTGTAAAAAGTTTGAGCATGAAAATTTCTTAAATACAAATAAATCATACAAAGGCATTGACACAAACCTGTGAACCTTTGGTACCTTGGGGTCCAACAGCACCACGATCTCCTTGAGATCCTTTTAATCCCATAGGACCACTTGGACCAGGTAATCCTCGTGGACCCAAAGACCCCTGTAAAAATACATCTTGTTTATAAACTTTAAAGTTAAATTACCTAATTAATTAAAAATCTGATGAGTAAACAGTCTACAGTAACATCAAACCATGATGTTTCACTAGGAAGCCTCACGTTACATATGTATGAGTTATGTTTAATAATCATTATTAAAGCTTTTCTGTTATTAATCTAAGGCTAAAAAACAAAGACACTGAAGCTTTTCGTTCAATTGCTTCAGTAACATTTTCTAGCAAGATATTTTATATATTAATTATAAAACAACATACATAGGCACAACGTAAACAGATATGATAAATGTTAAATATAATGATTCTTAACTGATAGACAAATTTTAAAATATTTTCAAAAACCTACCCTTTCTCCTGGTGGTCCAACATCACCTGGTGATCCAGGTACTCCTCTTGCTCCCTGCAACAATTGAAAAATAATTAACAAATTAAGTCATAATTTCCAATAAAGAAACAGCATATAATCAGATAATAAAAATTTCACCCTTACATTTCTATAACTATTAATGTAGAATATTGTTCTGTAAATTTATTGTAAGACTAGAATTAATGACTTCTTTAGAAAAGTAAAGTGAGCTTTAATCTCTTTAAGAGTCATCATACAGAGCAAACTTATTAAGACTTCAAGTAATTAAGAAAAAATTAATTATAACTTTCAATAATAACATCTCCTTAAACTGTGAAATTGTTCATTTTGTTATTTCTTTAAGTTTCTTACTTTTAGTCTTATTTTCTCTTACCTGGTAATTAATTTCAAACATATGGTAGCTTTGTTATAGAATTATATAAAACCCTTCTTCATTTATGCAATAGTTAACTGAAGCTACATGCTTATATTAATTGTAATAAACATTACATAGAACATAATCATTTCACTGACTAACTCTTTCCAAACCACATAATCAAACATTACTGACTCAGATGTTGACTATGTTGAAGGCAGTTTCTCAAGACTGTGAGCTAAAGTTAAACATATAAAATTCTTGCATAATTTAAGAAAACCATACTTCAACACTGTATATTTCATTCAAGACCAACCTGAATTAGATTAACTGACTTCATATATCATTATAATAAACTCAGCACAACATTCAAATAATTCTAAATAACCTAAATTTTAAGCTCCAAGTTTGGTCACTGATACTTTCTAAATATAATTTCATCATGAAAAAGTAAAATGTGTGTGTGTAAATATATAATTTTATTTAATACTGGATCTTAAAAACTCATAATATTTTTCAGATAGTTAATACAATATCTATATTATATATATGCATCAAGGTTACTTGTAATGCTTGTCTAATAAATTGTACATATTTTTTCATTATTATTTCAACTGCAAATGCATAATATGTCTGTTTATGGTAACACACACAGTTTGTACAATACATCAATTTGTTAAGATCAGCTTATTCAGATTTCTTCTTTTTAACAAACATACAAGTTAGCAGCTGATTTTTGACTTTAATATAAATATATATCATTAAAGTGCAACTTACCATTTTTCCTGAGTCCCCTGGTGTTCCTGATATACCTCGTGGTCCAGGTACTCCCGACTCTCCTTTTCTACCAGCATCCCCTTTAGGACCTCTTATTCCTGGAATTCCCTACAAGAAAAAAAAAAAAAAAGACCCTTGCTTTTAAGTGCAGGATTATACATCATACTAATATTTATATAAAAGTAAAGAAATGTACTATGTATAACATTTTAAGGAACAGTTGAAAAATTTCAAATGTTGTTAAAAGTTTTAATTGTCAAAACATCAAATATGAGCCAAAATATGAAGATCAGCTGTCTACATTATTCCCTATCAATTACAAATTACAGTTCATATCTTTTAGTAAGAAAAAAGTTAACAATTTGAAAAGTAATAATCTTAAGATTGATCTTAAATAAGTCATGTTTCCCCTAATTTCAGTATAAAACTTGACTCGTACTAGTTGTTAAAGCCTTCGGTTATCACGTTAGGAACAAGGCAGCTTAGATAATGAAGAAAAACTCCTAAAAATGGTATGATACAGAAGAAAACAATATAAAACAATCCATAAAATTAGAAGCAGTAAAGCTTAAGTTGAGTTCTGTGACAAAACTACCTAACCATGTAGCTCTTGAGTTACATTACACACTGTAGTTTAAACTTAGACAAGATGAATGCACAAAACATAAGTAGGAAACTTCTAAGTTATTATTAATGGAAAGTATGTGTGTGTGTGTGTGTGGAATGTAATAAGTGTGTAATCATATGATAACTTGTGTAATGATTATGTGTGTGTGGGATGTAATAAGTGTGTAATCATATGATAACTTGTGTAATGATTATGTGTGTGTGGGATGTAATAAGTGTGTAGTCATATGATAACTTGTGTAATGATTATGTGTGTGTGGGGTGTAATAAGTGTGTAATCATATGATAACTTGTTTAATGATTATGTGTGTGTGGGATGTAATAAGTGTGTAATCATATGATAACTTGTGTAATGATTATGTGTTATTGGACACCTGCAGCTGAAAGAAGAAATAATAACTTAATTACTCAGGTGTTTAATACTATTTATGAGCTAAAAGTATTTATCCTTTAAAAACAACTAGGAGTAAAAAGCCTACAAATTTAACCAATATAGAGTCAAAGCATGTCACTGATGTAATGTTTTATTTAAGATGGTTTAAAGTGTAGTTGGAAATCAAAACATTTATTATTTTATTTATTGGTTATTTAAAATTGCACTTATATCAAAGAAGAAAGGTTATTCTGCTTTATTAATAAACCAAGTACATTAATGTGCAATCTGTTGTTGATATACCATATACAGTGTTTCTGTAAGATTATAAAAGAATTACTTTCTGTGCTATGTCTACCACAGGAAATTGAAACCTGGATTTCAGCACTGTAAGTACTTACCACTGACCACTGGGGGACTTAATAGACGTGAAAAAGTTATAAAACATGATACACTAATTCATTCATTCATTTTTAATAACAGTTTTTATTCTAATGTTCTAGAGCATATTAATTTCTCAGCAGCACAACAGAACAATTCTTATAA